TTAATTTCCCTTTGCTCCCTTTCCCTACCTACGAGGAGCTGTACCACGTCAACCCCTTCTAAGGGCAACGCTCCTGTTATTTAGACAGTTTTTTTTTTTCTATAGCTACCTAAGCTAGCTTTCTACTAGCCACCTATTCAGGCAAATTGTTCTATTGGCTGGGCCAGCTAGGTTGTGTATAACTATCCTGCTGCTTAAGAAAGCTAGTTCATTTACTATTCAGCTACCAAGACTAGTTATATTACTACACAGCTGTTCGCCAGATGTCACCACTATCTACATAGCTGGGCTTTTGATTGTCCAGTAGCATTCCGCTACTTGTGCGGGTTTTGCTCTGTGCCACCTATCTATAGGTTTCCTACTTTAGTTATCTTGACTGATTCTTATTCCTTTTGTAAGATATCTAGACATTTTACTATCTGATTCATTTACTTAGATTTTCCTTACTGCAGAACTATTACGTGTGAATGTTTGTTTTCAAAGTTTAGATGCGATTTGGTTGTACTTTAATAATACCCGAACTCGTGTTTTATAGGTACCTGCAAAGTTTTAAATAAACAGCTCGCAAAAAAAACAACAAAAAACTCTTCTAATGAGGGTCTTACATTAAATGCAACAATGTTTAATTTTCAAGGTTTCTTACATTAAATGCAACAATGTTTAATTTTCAGGGTTTCTTACATTAAATGCAACAATGTTTAATTTTCAAGGTTCGTTAGTGTTACCTCATGATCTGTCTCCACGCGGCAGGAGAATAGATGGCACACCCAATAAATCTCACGAAAGCGCTCCTGGTGCTCGCCAGCTGTCGCTGTATGCAACTAGTTACGTAATGTTTCACGCTAGAACACACGTAGAGTCGCAGAAGGTGGTCTGACCAGCAAAGTATTGCGTGCTTTAGCAATAGAGTTCCGAAGAAGTATCTCATAATGAAATCACCAAGAGGTGGTTACAAATGGCGAAGTTTTTTTCGTTGTTAGGTCAAAGTGCACGATAAGTTTTCTTGAGGTTCTTCTGAATAATGAAACAGATCCCCTCTTCTATAGTTAGAACCACACATTCTTCAGATCGAACGTTAGGTGGAAGGGAGTGAGGCAGAAACTTTAACAGATCCAAAACATAATTACTTTCTTGCCGTTTCTGTCGAGCGAGAGCTCATGAATAAGCTTAATGCTTGTTACCTTCCCTTTGCCTGTATTTTAACTATGGACTATTACTCAAAGGTGTTACAAACTGGAGTACCTATTTTCAAGTAAAAAAAACAAAAACAATCAGTTAACTTCAAAGTAATTTTATCGGCCATTAGAGTTGTGAATATAAAATGAGCTGATGAATAACATTCCTAAATTTCCTGCAGGATTAACGATAAGGGAGTGATATTGGTAACAAGCTTTCGCTATCAGATGCTTTAGTCACGTGGTAAATGTCTAGATTCTACTAAAACACCCCTCTATTTACCAGACGTATTTTCCATAGACCGTGTAAAAATATGATAAAAACAAAAGAAATCGACATTTTATTTTTGTGTGTGTTAGTTTTGAGCTTGATTTTCAAATATTTTTATGTGTTAAAATATTACACATTGATAACACACAAACGGAAAAATTAGTAGTGATATTTGCACAATTATATATTTTCCCATATTCAGTATTCTCGAATTTAAAGTGTGTTCATCGACATACATGCTAACAGGTCTTTGAAGTTCATCATCGAAAAATAATCACATAAAGTGCGTTTTATCTTGGTTGAAGTTTTCAAGGAAAAAAACTGACGATATTGGTGTGCGATAACTTCTTGGCGCTCTTTATTTATTATCTGTGATCCGGGGTTTTTATTTTCTGACAGCTAGCAGTTTTTACTTACTTTTTGTTTAATTTTGAAAGCAGATGAGTATTGTTTTTCAGAATTAACAAAATTATATTTTATATAATCTTCCCAGTTAATTTTTTTCAACTTTCCATGTAACTTTTACCCTAAGGTTTTAAAGTCTTATTATCTCAGCAGATGCCCTCCGGTGGCACAGCGATATGTCTGCGGACTTACAACGCTAGAATCCGGGTTTCGATTCCAGTGGTGGGCAGAGCACAGATAGCCCATTGTGTAGCTTTGTGCTTAATTACACACAAAAAAACGAACAATCTCAGCAGATAGTTTATTATTATCTCACTAGAGGCACAGTAAACACAATAAATAACACTGTGCCACTGGGGAGGACCAATAAATAAAGATTGTAATTTTTAAACAATTATACTTTGTAAACTGAGTGATTTGACAGACGCAAAGTAATCAAACGAATAACAACCTCTTTAAAAGTACCAAAAGAAAAACTCCAGTGCATATGTCCCATACCAAACTCTCCTCAGTGGGTTAACTGTACATTTAAAGAGTTACAACACCAAAATCTGGGGCTCAATTCCCCGCTGTAGAGAGAGCGCAGATAACCCCCTTATGCTCCTTTACACTAAAATAAACAAACATATCAACCTCGTCAGAGTTTTCTGGGATTCTGGCTGTAACATAAAGAAACAAGTTTTAAAATGCAAAACTCCATTATATAAAATTACCATTTAAGTTATACAACATTCCATCCACAGTATAATGAGCGACTGCGTTTGTCCTTCAATGATTCATTAAAACGTCACATCACGTACAATTAAAAATATACTCTATCTAAGTTATATGATATTTACGTCTGTGAAAGAATCGGTAATATCTTTCAGTTGGTTTTATACTCTATCTAAGTTATATGATATTTACGTCTGTGAAAGAATCGGTAATATCTTTCAGTTGGTTTTATACTCTATCTAAGTTATATGATATTTACGTCTGTGAAAGAGTCGGCAATATCTTTCAGTTGGTTTTATACTCTATCTAAGTTATATGATATTTACGTCTGTGAAAGAGTCGGCAATATCTTTCAGTTGGTTTTATACTCTATCTAAGTTATATGATATTTACGTCTGTGAAAGAGTCGGCAATATCTTTCAGTTGGTTTTATACTCTATCTAAGTTATATGATATTTACGTCTGTGAAAGAGTCGGCAGTATCTTTCAGTTGGTTTAAATAAAATTTCTGAAAATCTGTAGGTGGATTCAGTTTTAATTTGAAGAGGGTCGGGCATGTCGGGATGCGTATCATAAGTCCAAGGTTCGCGTCTCAATATCACAGACCACACTCTGCACTTTCAGGTGTAGATGCGTTACAAGTGACATTCATTTCCGTTATTCGGTTCACAATCGGACAAAGCTCGTGCATTGGCGAATACTGTTAATTGGCTGCCTTCCTTCTCCACAGTTGCTATTCCTGAAGCCTTTGACCTTCGACCTGGCTGTTTAGCCAATGTGAGCATGAGGTAATGTTCAGGTTAAAAGTAATATTATAATTTGGAATAGCTATAGTCCATCAGCCTAGATTTCCTTTAGAGAGTATGCCTACAATTTTAAAAAGAGGTATTGGCAAAAAATATACCCACAATTTCAAGAAGTGTTGGCAAATAATATAGAAAACTGTATATATATTTCGTACATAAATCAAACGATTTTTACACCAGAACATTTGGTAAGTTGTACTGTGTTTCAGTACCATGTGTGTTGGTTAAATGTAAATGAAAGCTCAGTAAAGCATTGAAACTAAGTTCAATGATAACTTGCAGTTTAAAAAATATGCTATTTTAATAATAATTTAAAAAAAAAATCTTATTTTTTGAACTTCAAATCTGTATGTTCATTTCAATTCGTGATAATCAGGGGTAGAGCTAATGAGACACGCGAAAGTCAAATTTTTTAAATATAAAATACAATATTTAATTTGTTGTTTCAGTGGAACTTTTGGCAGAGTGGACATAGTAGGTTTTAAAATCTTAATGGTCTGCTACTGCCTGTTCAATTAAAAGTGGACAACGTTTCGGCTTCTATACTGAGGCCTTATCATTCAACAGGCACCTGCAGTTCGTTAAAGTTCTCAAACCTACAGTATTTGATTTGCTTATGATGATGATGTAAGGTCATTTTTCGATGAATTCGAACATTATATAAACTTTTCTTCCCGGACTTCCTTAAGTGGTGCTAACAGTTTACAATGGTTTAGTACATTCTGCATTTAGTTAACATCAACAACTACCCACATGAGCTAGTAATTGGCAAACTTCACATAAAACAAACATGGTGGGATGATCACACTTATTTCCTTCAACTCTGAAAATAAAGAAAGAAAAATAGACACAGCTGTGTTGAAAATTACTCTATGAAAATCAAACACTTACCTAATTTTAAATATTTTTATTATCTATTATATACTGAATTATTCAAAAGCTATAAGTTCTTAGAAAACATCCGCCCTGAAAAAAGGGTGTTCGTGAAATAAAATGTCATTGTAGGTTTTGATGTGAAGTCCATTAGGCCTCTGCAACGTTCACAAATGTTTCTTTTTTTCACTGAAATTATACGTTTTGGTAAAGAAAAAGTTATTGTTGAGTTAAAAATGTACAATTTTCACTACGATCACGTGGTATTTCTGATTAGCTGGTTCAGTTATAATGGAATACAGATCGAACGTGGCCATGTGGTATTTATGATTAGCTGGTTTAGTTATAATGGAACACAGAGCGAACGTGGCCATGTGGTATTTATGATTGTCTAGTTTTGTTATAATGGAATACAGATCGAATACGGCCACCTGATATTTTTGATTATCTGGTTTTGTACTAGAAATAGACAGTGAACGTGTCCTCGTGATATTTCTCCATAATTTATTTATCTTTACGAAGAAGAAGCAGATGTGTGTGTTAATATTATAAACATCTATTTGATTACGAAATTGCATAAAAATCCTCATTTGTCTATTCCTTATGTTTTCGTCATGTTTTTGGTTAACGGTATAAACACTTCATTAGAAAATTATTTTATGAAGTTTAAATTTAAAATTGTCTTTTTTTTCCATAAAATTATTCGCTTTCCAGTACTTGATTTTATTTTACAACGAAATGTAACTCACGAACGAGTTATGAACACATTTTTATTTTAAGATTCATTTCACGTTATATTCCACTCTCTAGTCTAGAATTCAAGCTTATTTGTTTTGAATGACGAGGGAAACTGTGATTTAATCGAGTCCCTAAATCACCAAATAAGTCTGTATGGAAATAATTTTCATTTTCATAACTGGATCAGCACCAATAACAACCATGATAGGCTGATATGTAGAAAAACATTGCAGGGACAACAACCATCCAAAAATCATCAGTTGCTAACTGCTCATTGGTTATTTTGAAAAAAAAAATTAATTTTCACTTTTTTCTTGTTATATAAATCTTCTTCTAATAATAGCAGAAACAATAAGAAAAGTTTTCAGTTTGAACTTCACTTTAGGTGGGATTTTTGTTACTCCTAATGGATATAAGGGCACACTGATTGTACAGTAAAATATGTTTTAATTATTAGGCTCTTTTATTCCAATATACATTGGTTTTTACCCTCTTCTAAGACTTTCCTTCTAACCTTCCTCCATTCTGCTAACCTTGGAGCGCAATGCAGGATAGGATTCCCCAGCTTCCATCTACCCATAAATAAGAATTCCTCGTAGCTGGGCTTTGAGCCACACTTCAAAGGCCTGTAGAGACGAGCTTGTTGGATAACAGTGCTATCTGTGTTGTGTGTAACTTTAGAAAGTACCGACTTCTGACTGTCTCTGTACATCCGGGTTACTTGAACTGTCAGCTCTGACCATTGGAGATCATTTCGGTGGACAATGGTGTTTATTAATCCTTCAAACACTGTAAAAAGTGGTGCACAATTTTACGTAACTTCATCAAGATTAACTCACAAATATATAATCACGATTTTAACACTAATTATCAGGTGCTAGTATTATATATACATGGCTATATAGAAAGATATCTATTAATATAAAAATATATTTTAAGGTACATAGATAAACAATTCTGAATATTAATATATATATAAATGAATTCTATGAATTTTTAAACATTCATCAGTATAAAAATCATTATAAGATATTTTAGCCAAAACTGTAGCAAAAACAATAAACAAATAAAACAACAAAATTATATTAATCTTAGTCAACAACATTAGATATGTTTATCCCATGACTTGTGACCTCCATTTAACTTCCATGTAAGCATAAACTTCGTTGAGACTCTTCGTATGTTTTCATTTAGGCCTGGCTGTCAGTTTAGTTACGGTTCGTTGAAATGGTTCAGTGCTAGGCCTAAAAACACACGTGCAACGTCAGCCACCGGCATAAGGATCACTGCATGAGAAAGTTTAGAGTAAATGCCAGCCATGAAGGTTGTTAGGTTTTCAAGGACGGGGATAAAACTGAATTACTGGAAATAGACAAGAATGACTGTGAATCCGAAAATAATAACCTATTCTCCGTTATCTGACATATTCCAGTGATGAACTGATAAATACTAAATGACCAGCAGTCAAAAGGTTAATTAGTTTGTTTTATGATTTTATAAATAACTGGTTCAAGCTGAAGCATTCCTAAGTTTCTCTCTTGTTTGATAATATGATCATTAATTATTACTGATTAAGTTAGATTATCACTAAGTTATATTTTTTAACCTTCCCAATTAAATATTTAACCTGACTGAATGATATAATTGGAAAATGTTCGGTTTGAACGAAAATGTCAGCTTAGTTACGTTTCGTTGAAACGGTCCAATGCCAAACGTGTATCGTCAACCGCCAGCGTAACTAACTATCAATACATGAAAATGTTTAGGGTAAATGCAAACCATGAAGATTATAGGTTTTGAAGGGCGGGAAATACATTGGTTTACTGGAAAACGTTTCGAGTTTTCATTTCCAGAAAGCAAGAGAATTTATTACACTGAAAACCTACAAAAAAAAAAGACGTTCTTTTTGTTATTGATTTTTTTTAAATTTCTGTTCTTGGTGTTAGGTTAAATTTAAGGTTTTGACAATAAAATAATAGCAGAACTCGCTCACCCTCCGGTGGCTCAGCGGTAAGTTAGGGGCCTTATAACGCAAAAATTGGGTTTTGATACTCGTGGCGAGCGGATAGCCCACTGTGTAGCTTTGTGCTTTACAACAAACAAACACAAAAAAATCTTCGCAAATCGTAAAAAAAAAGGAAATATGGCGCTCGTCACTGGTATTATACGTTTCAAGCATAGACGCCTCTGATTTTGATCTACTGACAACAGGAACCAGCAGCGACTGTCACAGGGCCTGACTCTTTGAATCAAACAACTGTCACTTTTGAAACGACCACAGCAGAAAGTACGGAGCATGTTCGGCGACATCACGACTAGAACCCTGAAGTCTTCGATACGTAGCCCTTGCTCTTAAAAATTAATGTATGCTGAACGTCATGGAGCTGAAACATATTGTATACAAATTATGTTTCTCGATAATATCTGTTAAAAAGATTTGTAAATGTAAAAATTATAGAGAAGGGAAAGCCTTCTACTCATATCTAAGATTAAGAGGACTACTAGCTTGCTGGATCGCCAGTTCTTTTGAATAATGATCAGCTTAACATGAACCACAATAGTGAATCGCAAGGGGTTGGACAAAACCTTAGTAGAACGTTCGGACAAGAAAGCAACTTAAACAGTAAAGATTCAGTTCAAACAACACTTTAAAACATTTACTATTGACTGTGAAGGCTGTACACATATAAAAGTGCACAAAAAAAAAAAGAACGCATGTTAGACTTAAAAGGAAAAGAAAATCCACTCAAAACATCTTATTATTATTATTATTCTCATGCTAGCCTACAACAAAAACGGCTTGCTATATTGCACCCAAACCTTTTGTAGAATACTAAATAAGGCACTGCGAAGGTCATAGGGGTATTGAACAGTCGATGTGTTTCTTCTATATTTGACATAAGCTAAAAATATCATAATTCTATTGTAAAACATGTTATCATTATCCCTTGAAGTTAGCTATTGTACAAACATATGGTGTTCCTTTAAAAAACTTAAGTACAGGGTGAAACAGGAATTACTAGCCAATAACAGATAACATTAGATGACTGTAACATGTAGATACTCTATGCTTTGTACACTATAGAATCGGTGTCAGCCCCTAAATTATGTATGAAGTGAAGGAGTAAAAAAAAAATCAATACATGTAATATTGAATTTTATTATACACATTCGTAGAATAATTACTATAAAACACATGAAAGTTTATTTAAATCGATGTTTTAGACATATGTGTTTTATTTGAAAAGGCTGCTTTTCTACTGGTAAAATTTTATACTCGCTTAGTGGGGGTTGTGTCTTAGTCTAGGTAAATATTTGCTAATTGCTCTGCATTGCATATAGAGAATTTAGTTACACCGGAAATATAAATGCTCACTATATTCTCAAACAAATTTCTATGACAATCTCAGCTGCAGCTTAAGATTTTACAACTCGAACTAATGAGATCAAATAGTCAATGGCTACAGTAAATCATCATGCACCGTATCAGCTAGCTACTAGCCATGTTTATTATCATTACAATGTATAAAGTAGGCTACCATATCAAGTAATCCTTTGCCAATTATTTGGAGGAAAAAAACAGCAAAGAAGATGAATAAAAAATTGGAATTTTAAACATCTGCAACTAGGGTTCGTAAAAAAAATAAAGAAACAAGGCTGGAGATACTGTAGAAATTATTTACTCAAAACTACAAACCCTACTTTGACTCCACCAAATGTAATCCTACGTAACAGCATTGAGTCAAAATAGGGGTTTGTAGTTTGAGTAAATAATGTCTACAGTATCTCTAGCCTTGTTTCCTTACTTTTTTTCCAATCCCCATTTGCAGGTTTTTAAATTTACAATTTTTTTACTTATCTTGTATTCACATGACAAGTGTAAATACGCTTCGTACGGTATTAATTGCAGGCCAAGGAAGTTCATAGCTGAGCACTTAAAGGTTTTTCATTTGTTGTTATTTTTGTTTGTTTTTTGGATGAGCGAGACATATTTCAGTATTTTGACTAGTAAAGTGTTATATAGTAATAAGTGTTATATAGTAATATATATTATCATTATTGTTGGTCCCATATTATAAGTGTTATATAGTAATAAGTGTTATATAGTAAAGTGTTATATAGTAATAAGTTTTATATAGTAATATCTGTTATTATCATTATTGTTGGTCCCATATTATAAGTGTTATATAGTAATATATATTATATAGTAATAAGTGTTACATAGTAATATATATTATCATTATTGTTGGTCCCATATTATAAGTGTTATATAGTAATAAGTGTTATATAGTAATATATGTTGTCATCAGATTGTTGGTCCCATATTATAAGTGTTATATAGTAATAAGTGTTATATAGTAACATATATTATCACCAGATTGTTGGTCCCATATTATAAGTGTTATATAGTAATATATATTATCATCAGATAGTTGGTCCCATATTATAAGTGTTATATAGTAATATATATTATCATCAGATCGTTGGTCCCATATTATAAGTGTTATATAGTAATATATGTTAATATCAGATTGTTGGTCCCATATTATAAGTGTTATATAGTAATATATGTTATTATCAGATTGTTGGTCTCATATTATAAGTGTTATATAGTAATATATATTATTATCAGATTGTTGGTCTCATATTATAAGTGTTATATAGTAATATATATTATCATCGGATTGTTGGTCCCATATTATAAGTGTTATATAGTAATATATGTTATTATCAGATTGTTGGTCCCATATTATAAGTGTTATATAGTAATATATGTTATCATCAGATCGTTGGTCCCATATTATAAGTGTTATATAGTAATATATGTTATATCAGATTGTTGGTCCCATATTATAAGTGTTATATAGTAATATATGTTAT